CAAGATATATTCGCGAAATACTTGCATTTTAGGCATATGATCGCATAATTAACCTCATTGCCCTGCTCCTTTTCTTTTATGTTTTTAACATCGCAAAGTAATGCAGAAGTGCTGGAAACATAAACCATTTAAGTGAACAAAATAAACAGATCTTGGCTGTTAAAATAACACTTTCAGAAAGCAATATAAGATCCCAGATGCCAAATGTTTTCCATCATGACGATCAAGTATGAACTTTCCAGCATTTGCCTTTTCGTGTTATCAAGAATAATTAGCGACCGAACTATTGGCTCCTGAGGTGATTGGCTGATCACCTTACCTTCCGAAGTTTTTGAAGACACTCTCAACTATCTTTACTAGAAATTAAGGATGTCGACCGCCATGGCAGAAGGTAGTACCATGTTATATGTATGTTATTAGTTCAGTCAAAACAGACTTATTTTCAGCTAACATTTTCGATTAAACCGCTTGTGTGCATCTGACAATGAGTTCTCTGTGAATTTCTGTTTTCTTGCTGCTCAGTTTGAAACTCGGAGTATAATCGCCTAAATGCGACATACAAGTCTACTTTGGGCCATCCAGAGGTCTTTTAGCTGACGCAGTCTGGCCACGCACACACACCTGTCTCATTACGTGGCTGGAAAGTCTCCCATTACTCATCTGCGCCTGCTGCCATGGCTAAATCGGACGCCATCAGTCAGTCATTTAGGAGGGCATTATGGTGCCGGCGATTGGTTGCGCTGTCCGGCGGCTAGGGCGCAGCAAAAAGTTTGGCACTAATAGCCCACGACCGTTGTCCAAGACATCAATGAGGAAAGTGTGGGCGTTCGAAAAAAACGTTTCAGTGATTTTCAGTTTATCATTCTGCAAGCCAAATAATTTACAATCGCCAATTGTGGTAATGTGATAGACAGCGAATGGGAAAGAAACTGGGAAATGTTTATTGTTTTCGGATTTTTGACTCTCCAAAGTTGCCACATACGTGTTCGCAAAGGTGCACCGCTTAAGTTCGATATTCAGAGTACGGCAAGATAAGATACATATGTCAAACAATGATTTATCTTAGAATGTGAATGCTTTTATTTTTCAAAAACTATTGAAAGACTTGCACGAGCACTGCAAGTAATGTAAGTTTGAATTTGAAGCATTTTGTCCCCGCTACGAAGCTGAAGTAGGCAACAAGGGCAGGATGTATTGGTACCGAAAAATTTCTCGACGGCTCATCAGCTGCGTCCTGTCGCTTCATAAGAGAAATAATGAGTGAGAAGAATACAACAGATTTGGATTCTTGCAGAAAATCAATGCAGAAACAGCAAGGCCAGGGTTTTGGGTAAAGCTGGCTAATCAATAAAGTTAGTAACTCAAACACCGTAGGCCAAGAAAGTGAAAAAGGGGGAACGTAAAAGAGCAAAAATGAGAGGAAAAAGGGAAAATCATGGAGCTAGAGGCTACCATGGCAATTTTAGGTTAACCACGTGTTCCAATTGTTTACAAAGATCTGGTTTCACTCGTCCTATATAGGCCGCCTGCAGGTAACGCAATATCCGAGTTGTTCGTGCCCGAACAAGTACTCGGAAGGAAGTTTTGGGGTCGACGGAGTGACCACTACCAATCAGGTGTTTCGTAATGGAAGAACGCGGGGTTTTATTTTCTTGTCTCAAGAGTCATCTGGGCAGGTTCTCAATAGACCTGCCTGCCAACTGCCTTTGCGTGCGCCCAAAACCCTGGCCTTGCTGTTTCTGCATTGATTTTCTGCAAGAATTCAAATCTGTTGTATTCTTCTCACTCATTATTTCTCTTATGAAGCGACAGGACGCAGCTGATGAGCCGTCGCGAAATTTTTTGGTACCAATAAATCCTACCCTTCTTGCCTACTTCAGCTAAGTTTGAATTCATTCACGCCTACTTTGCGACAAATAATGATTTTAAAATGTGAACTGTGCTTTCTTAGGTCTTGACCCTTTTATTGACTGTACGTCTAAAACTACTTTTATGCAAATTTTCTATCGTACGTGACACGGACCAGAATGGTACCGAGAATGCAATGCTGAATTATGCAGGAATACATTTATAGTACGGAAGATTTGCGCAGCATCTGCGTCAACCTGTCTCGATGGCAAGGCAGAGTTGGGACAACTAATGATAATGTTGAATCCAATGATTGATCGATTTATCTCCAAGTACGTGTGATCCACATATGCCTGTTTCTGCACCCGCGAACCACAATTCAACAGATGGTTTCTGAACTCAAATCGTAGGAAATTGCCAGAAAGGGCGCATTATGAAGGAGCAGTTGCGGTCTGACCGTTGCTCCAATGGATGGCTAAAGGTATACCATCGACTAAAATTAGTCGAAGTCATGACCATTACTGCGTTGGAATAGTTGAAAATGCCTCAGATCGTTCATGTTAAAGGGACCATGTGCTGGATTTGAGTTTCCTCAGTCCCACTCGCTCCTCCCTCATTTACCACGTGCCAGAGTCAAACCTGCAGGACATGATGAGATCCCGCGCAGTGACTGAACTCGCACAAACCTTCAACATATTGCGTGTTGTGCGCGAACATCCGCTTGCAAAAGACGTCGTCCCTCATTACTGGTGTTGGCGAATTTCAGTAGTCGTTGTCATATCAGCGCAGATGACTGAATTGGCCATACGATGCTTGAGTGTGCGAAAGTCTAACCAAGCATGAGAGACCTACCATGTTCTGGCCAAGGCTCCCGCAAAAGCTTCTACAATTGCGCTGCAACAGAGTCCCAAGTGTCCCATCAAACCTGTGTGTGACAGGTTTAGCGATTGCTGTCGAATATGTGAATAAGACTATATAGGCGCGTCCGAGGTCCATAGGGCAGGGGACACTAAGGGGGACGGGGACGATCATGAGAACTCACTTTTAGTAACCGACCATGGAATCTTCGCCCGATTGCATCTATTATTTGAGGTATGGCGGATGGTTTTGGCGGTGGGACTGCAAGGAGGTGTCTGATTGTTGGGTTGATGTCGCTGATGTTTTGCGGTAAGTAATCGTTGCAATTGAACATAGACTAGCTGACTTTCGAACACTTAGAACACCTTCTGTGGTAAGGTTGTGATAGACGGCGAAGTGAAGCCAGGATGGTTGGAGAAGTGTACAGCAACCCAAGTGCTGCAGTTATTATACCAAACGGTCCGTTTTTTTGTCTCAAATTGGAACCACGAAAACACAGGGTTTGGAGAAACATGGACAGGCGAGGAGAAACTGGATACTGATACAAACGAACAGGCGAGTTACAGGAAACAGTTCAGAAGAAAAAGACGCAATCATTGCAACAAGAAGCTTATTGGCCTGACATTTCGGATTCTCACTCAGACCCATCATCAGAGGCAGTCGCAGGTAAGAGTAGTGGAAGCACAAAGACCGCAATATTTACAGAACGTAGTTACCGTGGGATCACATGCGCACTATAATTAACGGCTTTCGCGTGGGGTCGTAACTGATGCGATGATAGCTCGTCAGTCCGCGTCTGAGTCATTACTTGCCGCAGTTCCACCATTCGTTTTGGATGTTGGCGTGACGATTACCGGGCGTTTTATATAGCTGTCAGTGGGATTGTTTTTCACCCGCGCCCCCCCAAGTGACTGATGAAATTGCGGCCATTAATGACTCGGACGCGGGCTGACGAGCCATCATCGCATCATTTACGACCCCATGCCGTGATCGCGAGAGCTGTTCATTATAGTGCGCATGTGATCCCACGACAACTACGTTCTATAAATACTGCAGTCTTTGTGCTTCCACTACGCTTACCTGCGACTGTCTCTGATGACTGGTCTGAGTGAGAATCTGAAATTGCAGGCCAATAAACTTCCTGTTCCAGTGATCGCATCTTATTCTTTTAAACTGACTGCTGTTCATCAAAGTTCCCGCCAATGACTTTCCTGCCGTGGTGCCAGCATGATCAAATGTCAGACTAGGCGAACACTTGTCGAGAATTTTCATTCTCCCCATGAGCAATTCCCGTTTTTCCGTCATCACTGCTGTAAGTAGAGTATTTATCGAGGGAAAACCAAGACAAGAATCCGAGCATGGTCTTGAACCTGTCCTTATGGCATCATTTTGGTTCCCACTTCCCACGAATATTCAATACCGATGTCACTCGGTCAGGGGTTCACGAATCATCTTCATGGCATTGTTTTATCGAGTATGAACCTACTTCAGTTAAAGTGTACTGAGGTACCGAACTAATTTGCCTTTGACAATTTAGTCCCGTTTTCTTTGCCCGAATTGCCTGTTTGAATGTGACGAAAAAGAACACACCTGTACAACCCGCTTCGCTGGCCTGCTCAGCTGTCGTGCTCTATTTTCATGTTACTTAACGTTAAGAATTTCTCTATTTTTCACTGGTCAGTTTTGCTTGCTGCATTTAATGCTAAGGGCTCGTGTGATATAACTCATTAGTTCGTGAGAAAATTATCACTTACGTCATTGGTGACCCCGACGTTAACGCACACTTTATACCTTTCTATGTCATGTTAAATAACATTTAACCTACTATTTGTTTGTGAATTTCTACTCCATTTATATATACTTTTCTCACGAATTTTCCGACATTTTTCCATCTCTGTCTTGATTATTATGTCTCACTCCAACCAGCAAATTGATGTCCCCGCCCAATCCCTTCATGCCGTTAATTTTACCTTACCCGATTTCTGGCAACACGCTCCAGAACTTTACTTCATCCGCATCGAATCAGCCTTTTATTCTGCTAACGTCACCAAGAAGTTGGAGAAATATCACAAAATTGTGCAGGTTCTCCCCGCTAGTGTTATCTCTCAAGTTCAGTCCTCGCTATCAGATCCTCCCGCAGATGCTCCTTATTCCACGTTAAAGGCAGAAATTCTTCGACTTAATTCTGTGTCCGGTCGAACACCGGTCGGTATCACCAGTTAATTAAGGAGGAGTCGCTGGGTGACCGGAAGCCCTCATAACTTCTACGTCGAATGCGTTCTCTAATTGGAAACATGCAGGTTGACGATAAATTCGTCAAGGAGATGTTTCTAGGGAGTCTGCCTGCAGATGTTCAAACGATCTTGGCGTCCGGTTCTCAAGATCTCACGGTCTCACAGGTGGCTGAAATGGTGGATCGAATGATAAAGGTACAGTGGTTTCAGCCGCCTTCCGTTGCCCAGATCTCCAAATCCTTATCGACAGTGAATGAGCAGTTAATGAAGCAGGTGTCGGCTATGGCGGATGAGATGGCCTCCCTTAAACTGCAGCTCGCACGCCTTACTTCTAGTCGCTCACGCAGCCGTCGTCGTTCCCGTTTGTGACCTCGGATTGCCAATACTTGTTGGGATCATACTAATTTCGGTGTAAAGGCCTGTCGCTATTCCTCAGCCTGCTCTTTAAAGTTGAAACAGAGAAACCGGTCAGTCAGAGAATAGACGCGCCCATTTTCTTTGGCTCTTCCGACTCTGGTCGCGCCTTCTATGTTTGCAACATTGCGACTCGCAGACGTTTCCTGGGGAATACTGGAGCCCAAATCAGCGTTCTTTCTCCAACTCCAGCTGATCGTCGTTTTCCCAGCCCTGATCTTCACCTCCAAGCTGCCAACTCTTCCTCCATTCCCACCTTTGGCAGTCTGTCCCTCACCCTGAACATTAGCCTTTTGCTGTCGTTCACCTGGATATTTGTGATTGTTGATGTCCCTCATGCAATCATCGGCTCGGACCTTCTTGCCGAGTTCGATCTCGGCAAGCGTCGGTTTGTGGAGATGTCGGAAGTTGCGGCTGCCTTGGCGTTATCCACGAAGACGATGGGCTCCATGATTAGTTTCGCGAGTCTTCGGTAGTGGTTATTGTATTTGTGGAGGTGGTTTTGACAAGCTCGTCCTGTGGCCTGTGTCGCCAAAGCTAACTGATAATTCTCCAAGGTCGGATGGCTTACGTAGGCCCTGGACGCACGACCACAATATACCCATTTCTCATCTGCGTGTTTGGGAAGCCACGCGGGGCACATTAAACGTCCCCATAACCGCTTCCCTGTCAGCTCATAAACGCTCATAACTTGGCAATGTCCTTTTTCAACCTCCACAATCCTATGCGTAACGTTATTAAACGTTACCTCCAGTACACAATCTCTCAGTCTTTGCGGATTATTCGCGGTTGTTTCATCTTAAGTCCTTTCGATTTTATTGGAGATAATCCACATTCAACTTGGCTATGTTTAATACCTTTTGAATATTTAGCCAGCATGAAAGTCGATTTGCTGTGCCATTTTATCATAACTTGCTAGCTAATTTGGCGAAAGGACAGTAAGTAATGGACCCCACTTAGTAGGGCAGCGCATGGTATAAAGAATATAAAATGCAGCCCATTGCAATCTGTAAGAAATGGCTCGTCCATTTTTTGTTATTACTAGTAAATAGAAACTGTTTTAATAGTATCCCATTACTAACTGAAATCTGAAACACCTACCAGGAACGTGAAGTCGGTTGGTTTTTTGGCTGGGCTTCTAAGATAAGTTGTAGGTGTTTGTAAACTGTGTGACGTTGAGCGTAGGCAGGGCTGTATCGCAGACCAGATCACGCAGAGTCCTGAACTCTCAACACTTCATTTCACACGCATGCATTCGAGTAAACGGAAGCAGAGGCAAGTGCTTAGTTGTACCATGGATAAGCTGAATTTGCATTTTATGGCAGGTACCCAGGTGATCGATACAAAATTGCTGTAGTGAATCTTTGTAACAGAAATGAAATCAAATATCACCTCTGAAAATGACCAAAATGGACATACTGACAATGCAGACGCTTGAAGCACCTCTTACAAGATGGGTTATGTGACCGTTTCTGCTATTCAGTATTTTGGGAAAATCCCTTGATTAAGAAAAACACAAGGAACCATGACAAGAAAGATTTTATTAAACTTAAATCAAACGACCAGATTGAGAATGGGTAACGCTTTCGTTAAATGCATATTACTTACTCAAAAGTTAAACCAAAGTGCTATTGTGAACGGTCTGCACCTTTTGTTTCAAGAGTGTGATGAAATGTACTTGAAGATATGACTCCGTGGGCGGAATTGCCACTTTTATTAGGTTGATGACTCTATTTTAGTAAAAAAGACTGGATTTCGAAATGTAACTTAATAAGTTTTTACTCAGGTATGTAAATTTCCGAAGACCCCAACTGAATGGTTGGATCGGCAATTTCGCGAGTATTACGTGCGTTTTTAATTATTTCTCGCCAACGCAATGAAACTTTCAAAATAACTGTTAATCGGATTGTTAAATATCAGGTGTACCCTTTGCAAATGGGTGTTAAGAAGTGCAGGAGGCTTCACCTACTTAGGTGTTTTCAAGGAGCCCAGACTCGTAACTTGACAGTACTGACAGTACTGATATATAAACTTATGTTCAGAAAATGAAAAACAGCCCTAGTTGCATTATCACTACCTATGAAAAGAAGAGTTCGTTACTTTATTTCTGTTTATCGATATGAATAGGGAGCTCAAGGGCGAAAGCCTCATTCCCTTAATAAACTGACTTAAACTGACTGACTCTTAACAGGTAACGCTACCACCATGGAAAGAAAGAGGTTTGCTTTTTTCCTTCGGGGCATATAACTAAAAAGGGTAGAATGTAAGCTTGTCCGCAGGCGGTTGGCAGACCATCATTCGGGGAACACCTGATGCAAACTGAGCAGGCACTTTTGGCGGCCGCAGACCATGGGGCGGCGATGACTCCAGATGTGACTGACCACCGACTAATCAGATTGGAAAAGTAAAAAGTGCAACAAAACGAAGGCGGTATAGTGACATGACAAATGCTCTCGTTATTAGAAGAAGAAAATTGGCTCTCCGGAACAGGTTCATTTAACTGCTCTCGTTATCCAATCATGCTTGCTTCGTTGCTATCGTAACAGAGATTAGGGATCCGCTCATAGGTTAAGGTTATCGATGGTTATTCGCGACAGGCAAACTCTGTTCCTTTAAAAGGCATCCACGGCTGACAGGCGAGACTTAAAAACACGACCCGTGCGACTTTTCACCAACGCTGACGTTCCAAAAGGCTGCCTTCTCTGAAAAGTCTTCTAACCATATCATACCAAACTTTTTCATTTACTCGGAAGTTAATGAGGGAATTAAATTCACAGTCCTTGGTACAAGTCCTTTCAGGTTCAGTTTGAAATTTTATATGGGTATCTGGACTGAACTACATCAGCCTCAGGTGAATATTTATTATCTAACGGGCATTGATTAGGATGCAAATACACGCTGAGGTTGATCTACTGTACTCCCGCAAAAGATACTACTTAGAAAAGCAGTAGTTTGATCAGCCGATTTTATGTCGCTGCACGCCACATCTACAAGCGTTTCTGCTTACCCGGGCGTCCTGTGGCGTTCACCATCTCTTCTTCCGGACACTTGACTCAAAGACGCTTCACCAATTAATGCGAATTTATTATTTTAGCAATCAAACATGGAGTCCGTATTAGCAAATATTACACAGAAAACACGCTGAAAAGCCGAACTCCTCCCCCCATAGTTGTCTTTGGAGACAACGTAAAAACACCAAGTCAAGTGTTTGAGATTTTAGCTAATGCTTCGGTGTGGAACATTTTAAATCAGTCTCAATGTTTAAAATCTCATGGACGTAGTCAAGGTGTCCTTAGACTGCCGAAGGTGACAGCGTAGCTTAATGCCTTGCTCAAGACCCTGAGTGTAGTCATAAAATCGCCGACTAGAGAACTCGGTCGAATCGTATTTCGTAGCCGCACCTGGAGTGGACAAGCCCCGGCCGCCTGTCATAGGGGGGTAAAAGGGGGTTTAACACTAACCCCTAATCCTAACCCCTGAACCCAACCCCTAGCTCTAACTTTAACCCCTAACACTAATCCCTAACCATAACTCTAGCCTCTAAACCCTAATAGGTGCGGTTACGAAATAAGATCTTACCGAGAATCCCTCCGGAGAAGTGCAGCTTACCCAATAACCGCCTCCTTCGGCAAATTTGGCTTTAAATTGGGTTCCACGAAATCCGACATGATGTTAATGGCCCCGCACTGAAAATAGGGTCTTTCTAATATCGAAATAAATTACATTGTTGTCTACAGCTTTTGAAACGTGGTATATATGCCATGGAAGTGTCTTTCATATCGTCGAACAAGTTGGTAAATATCAAGGGTTTGTAGTGCATTATGTTACTCATGAAGTCTTGTGACGAAAATTTAGATAATCAGTCCGAGACACGTCGAAAATCGCCAATTTACCTATTAGCTTAACGCTTTGCGAAAAAACACAGTTTATATGCAGACTATGAGCCCCTCTGTAAGTTACTTTGTCATTGGAAAAGCCTTGAAGGACAATTATTTGTGTGTGGGTGGACTGGGAGCACTTAATTCATTGAGAAATGATCTAGCAAAACAAGATAGTGGGTAGAGTCCTCAACGCGACCCAACTGCATCGCTCAAATGAGGTGGTTCCAGGGGCCAGGCCACTCAAGCACATCGGAAATAGACGTGAAAGCATGTCGCCAAGTCGTTTTCGAGATAAGATTCGGAAACCGATGGTCTGGGCGGGGCCGGAGACGGTGCAGAAGGTTGGTAGGATCCTCGATCGCATCTCGCGGGATTGGCGAAATCATCTCACTGGACCGAGACAAACCGAACGAAGCACTGTCGAATGTTGCAAACTAAAATTCTTTTACACCAATGCACAGAGTCTGTTTTCCAAGCTTGACGAACTGAGAATACAGGTAGCCGATACTCTTCCCGATGTAATAGCAATAACAGAAACGTGGCTGTCAGAGGACGTTGGTGATTGCGAGGTAGCATTAACAGGATACCATTTGTTTAGGAGAGACAGGAGAGGCCGCCGGGGTGGAGGAATTGCCATGTATGTCAAGAGCAACTTAGCAGTGTGTGAGAGGACCGACAAGATTTCTAACGACACAGAGGTAATTTGGCTGACTATAAAGGCGCGGGGATCTCAGTCCCTCGAAATCGTAACTATCTACCGGCCCCCGCAGGCGGATCCCGACCCAGATACTTGTCTACTTGAAAGCATAAAAGATATCGCCAGCCGACCAGACGTTGTTCTCATGGGGGATTTTAATGCACCCTGCATTCAATGGAGCGATATGCATGCGGAGTGCTCGATGAATACCTGCGATTACCATCTACTAAAGACAACCCTAGAAGCTCTACTCACGCAACGTGTCCAGTTTGCAACTAGAGCTCGTGGAGGGCAACAGGCCAGTTGTCTGGGCCTCGTTTTTACCAAAGATCCTGACAGTATAGACGAGGTGTACTACCTACCCCCGCTCGGTCGAAGTGCTCATGTAGTGCTTTTATGGTAGTACTTGCTGTATTCTGAACCGTGTACAAAAGACAATACGAGGCCAAATATATGGAAAGGGGACTTTCGCCAAATGAGAGCTGAGGCATCACAAATAGACTGGGATGTTCTCTTCTCCGGAAACGTTAACGAAAACTGGAATTTATTCAAGGATCGCTTACTGCATCTAATGAAGAACCACTGTCCCTTATCAAAGCCTAGGATATCCAATCGCCCTCAGTGGCTAAAACGAGAGCTCAAAAAGGAGATCAACAAGAAAGGAAGGTTATGGAAGAAATTTCGCGAGAACAACAATGTAGCGTTTACAGAATACAAAGTTCAAAGAAATAAGGTGAAAAGTCTGATTTTCAGGAGGCGACGAGATTTTGAGAGTAATTTGCTCCACCAAGCCGTTAAAAATCCGAAATTGCTCTACAGCTATTTGCGGAAAAGCACACGTAACAGGAATCCCATTCCTGTTATGAGGGGTGATGACGGCTTGGAGATATCGAACAGTACAAATAAGGCTGAGCACTTTTCTCAATTTTTCCGATCCGTTTTCACAAGAGAAGCAGACTTTACCCCATCTAATTCTGAGAACATGAGAGATCCCACTATCGAAAATATTGTGTTTCGAGAAAAAGCGATTTTGGAAGAACTGAAAATCTTGAAGGAATGTAAATCTCCCGGTCCGGACGAGATCCCAGCAAAGCTGCTCTTTGAGCTTGCCCAACAGCTGGCCAAGCCACTATCCTTTCTGTGCCAGAAATCGTTTGATGCTGGAATTCTTCCCACAGACTGGAAGACGGCCCACATTACACCTCTTTACAAAAGCGGTAGTCGTGCTCAGGCGACAAACTACAGACCCGTCAGTCTGACATCAATCTGCTGCAAAGTGATGGAGAAAACCATCAAAAAGGAGTTGATGGCTTACTTGGAAACCCACAACCTCTTGTCCAATGCACAATATGGTTTCCGTAGGGGAATATCATGTGTTACGAACTTGCTATACACAATGCAAAGTTGGACACGAGCACTGGACTCAAAACACACCGTGCATGTTGCCTATATTGATTTTCGGAAGGCGTTGAACAGTGTTCCGCACCAGCGTCTCCTACACAAGTTGAGAATGATGGGCATCGGTGGCAAACTTCTCAAATGGATCGAAAATTTCCTTGTCGGCCGCTCCCAAATTGTCTGCGTAGAACAACAGCAATCAAGGTGCACATTCATAGAGAGTGGGGTCCCACAAGGCTCGGTGCTCGGACCAACTCTCTTTCTCTTGTTCATCAATGTTTGTGTAGATGGGTTGGACTATGATTGTGCCATGTTTGCGGACGACATAAAAATCTGGAAAGTCATCCAGAATGCCGCCGATGAGACCAACTTCCAAGAAAATCTTTGTCGATTGGACGAGTGGTCCCGCAGATGGCTCTTGTCCTTCAATTTGAACAAATGCACCATTCTGCGCCTCGGAAATAAGACCCCTAGTACGCGGCAATACCAGCTGAACGGAATGCCACTCCGAGAAGTAGAAACTCAGAAAGATCTCGGAGTTTGGGTTGCAGACAGCCTTAAGCCTTCTACAAAATGCTGTAAGGCGGCCAAGGCCGCAACCTCAATGCTATATGCCATCAAGCGGGCCTTCGTAGTTTTCGATGAAGACTGCTTCACCAAAGTCTTCGGAACGTTTATAAGGCCCCATCTCGAATATGCAATTCAGGCCTGGAGACCGTGGACGCATCAGGATAACGATCTGCTCGAAAGGGTGCAGAGACGAGCAACAAAATTAATAAGAGGTCAAAGTGCACTGCCATACGAGATCCGCTTAACTAACCTTGATCTCTATCCTCTGAGTTATAGGCAGTTGCGCTGAGACATGATACAAACTTTCCGTATCGTGCGCGGCTTGGATTGTGCCCTTCGGGGGCGCGATGACTTTTTCCAACTCGCCACTACAACTCACCTCCGGGGACATCCCTTCAAGCTACGTGTGCCACAGGGTCGACTGAATGTGAGAAAATATTTCTTCTCCAACCGTGTCGTGGAACTGTGGAATAACCTGCCCGAGACGGTTGTTATGTCTCAATCTGTGGAGGCATTTAAATGTCGCCTTGACCGATATATGCTGCAGCAACAAGCGGACTATGTGATTTTTTAGCCATGTGACTAGTGACATATGTGAATCAATGTATGCATTCACTTAATGCTGTAATTTCTTCACATTTTTGCTTGTTTATCGATTTTTTTATGTACAAATAGGGAGTTCAAAGGCGTAAGCCTATTTCCCTCAAATACACTGACTGACTGACTGACTGACTGACCGAACACCACTTCAGCGGCGGAGCAGCCAATGTCCGACTACAGAGAGGAGCGGATGCCCAACAAGACCAGGGGAGATGGTTCGCCCAGTTCTTCGGGTCGTCTGCGACGCGTGGGGAGGCCTGCAGCTGGCTGTGAGACCGCTTGACCATCCCGTCGACTGCCGGATGATGAGCTGTCCGTGGGGATACGGGTATATTCTAAAGGGGAAAGAAGAGACTGGATGAGTTTTTATTTAAACTGGGCACCGCGGTCAGTCGTAAAAGTGGAGAGTGCACCAAAAATGACAACCCAACGACTGAGGAATGCCCTGACGACTGTCAGGGCAACGACATCGGGCAGGAGGATAGCTTCCGGCCAGCGAGTGAATCGATCCACGCAAGTGAGGAGATAGGAACAACCATTGGACAGAGGCGCGAGCCCACGATGTCCAGATGGACATGCCTGAATCCTACATCCAAAGTGGGGAAGGTGTCGATAGGAGCATTGTTATGCCTTTGGACCTTACTCCACTGATAGTCGAGACACGTCCATGCCCATGCTTTCAGGTCCTTGTCCATTCCAGGACAGACGGAACGGTTGAAAACCATCTTGTCGGTAGCTCGACTCCCGAGGTGCGCTGGGTTGTGCGGGGAGAAGACCCTGCACTGGGGGATGGCGGAACAAAGGGACGGCCGAAATTGGTGGAGACGTCTCCTGGGATTGTGCCGTTGCCGGTAGTCAGTGGCAGGTTCTGGATTTGGAGTCCGGAAACGTCCCAATCACAGGGAGAACAACACGGCGCTGTTTGGCAGCCATCTCAACTAGGTCGATCACACGAGAAAGGTGGAGATGTGCGATGGACGGCCCCGACAGTGCGTCAGCCACCTCACTGCCTGACCCCTAGATGTGGCGGATGTCTGAGGTAAACTGAGAGCTGTAGTCCGATTGGCGAATTTCCCGGGGGTTGAGCTCGTCAGAAGAGGACTTGAGAGCGAAGAAAAGGGGCTTGTGATCCGTGAACACAGTGAACTCCCTGCCCTCAAGGAAGCGCCGGAAGTGTTTAACGGGGAGGAAGACAGCAAGGAGCTTCCGTCCGAGTGTGCTATAGCACGTCTCGGCAGGTAATAACTTCCTGGAGAAGAAAGCTAAGGGTTGGATTTGACCAGCAAGGTGCTGTTGGCGAAAAGCGCCTATCACAACATCGGAGGCGCTAACCATAAGGGAAATGAGAGCATTAGGAAAAAAATGCTTCAAGGGGGCGGAGTCAACCAGGACAGCCCTCACCTTATCAAGAGCAGCGAGGGCGTCTGCAGACAGCTCGAACGAACCTTTTGCCCCCGAGAGGAGGTTTGTGAGTGGCAGGATGGTGTCGACACTGTGTGGGACGAATCGGTGATATAATTGCGCCATGCCCAGAAACCGTTGCAGCTGACGTTTGGAAGAGGGAGGTGGGAAATCACCTAGAGGCGCAACCTTCGATGAAAAAGCATGGATTCCGTTGGAGTCAACCGGATATCGAGAAATTCTAGGAGAGCATACCGAGTACGCACTTGGACGGGTTGAGAACACCGCCAAATCTTTGAAGGCGGTCGAACACCGTTGCAAGCTACTCAATATGTTCTTCAGCGATAGAATTAACTACCGAAAAGTTTGTTGATATAGGCGTAGACAAATAATGGGCCGCAAAACACTCTGTCTACGGACTTGTCAAAGGTTGGGAGGCGTTACGAAGCCCAGACGACATGCACAAGAACTAAAAGAGGTTAAAGCGGTGGTGACAGCCGTCTTCAAAACGTCCTCTGGGACGAAGGAAATTTGGTGGGATGCACGGACCAGGTCAGTCTTTGAAAACGCTGATTTGCCAAATAGGGAACCGGCGAAATCCTGAAGATGTGGGACGAGGTAGCGGTCTGGGACTGTAACATTGTTCAGGGCCCTGTAATCACCGCAGGGAGCGCCAGTCACTAGTGGCGGCCTTTGTGACCATATGGGGGAGCGAGGCTCATGGGCTTTCAGATTGACGTATGATACCCATCTGAAGCATGTGCTCCAACTCCGCCTTGGTAGCAGTAACACGTGCAGGCTCGAGACGGCGGAGCCGAGAAAACATGGGAGGATCAGTGGTCCAGATGTGGTGAACAACGTGGTGTGGTGTAATAGAAGCGTTGAAGTTGGGACGAGTGGGGTCGAGGTGTTTATTAAGAGGTTGCCGAAATGGATTGTCTGGTTCAGGGTTCAGGACGGTGAGCTGACGGGGGGCGTCAGAAGAGATATCCCGGTCAGTGAGGTTGGTGGTCTTGTCATGTAACCGGGGCCGACGGCGAGGAAGTCTACAGCGAGAATGGCACAGTGGATGTCAGCAAAGACGAAGACCTAAGGGAAAAGACGCCGGCGGTCAATGTCCAGAGAGTGGGAGCAAATACCGAAGGTAGCGATTGGTGAGGTGTTGACGGCCTGAAGGAAAAAGTTGGCATTGGGGCACCGACGATCAGTTACTGTGGGCAGAATGGCACTCAGTTGCGCCAAGAAACGTCTGCCACTTCGTGTGTCACGGGCATAAAATGTGCATGCAGAATTAGAACTGCCATGAAGATCGGCTGCATTAACCTTCGGGCTGATCCGTTTGACCAGTTTGCTCTGCTTGGAGTCGGAGAATCAGGCAAAGATGCAGCGAAGGGCTTTAGCCCCAAAGGTGGTGTAATACCAGCAGGTGGTGGCTGTGTTGGAAATGGCTGAATGTAGAGACTGGACATGTGGGATAGACGACTTCGACTGGAAGCGGTATACTTCTGGAGAGATGTTACGTCTTCGGCCAGCTGTGTAAGTTCGATCTCCAATTGCGAAAGGGGCGACGCAGGAGGAGTTAAAGAGGTTAAGAATGCTGAAAGTGACGGTTTGGAAAAACCGTGCATCTCCATAAGCTGCTCGGCCATTTAAGTAAGTTTATTAGTCGAAAGAATGCCAAGCGCGGTTGCCAAAATATGCTGTACTTCCGGTTAAAATTTGTGTATGGTCAACGCCCGACTTTATCGTAAATAAGGAAGATGGAAAATTTATGTTCGCAAAGAGTCACTAAATGTCGAGATGCTATGGTTGACAAGACAAAACTTTCCTTGTCAGAATTCAGGGTAGACGAGTTGGGTTAGACAACTTTTACTGCTGTTTTTACTACTGCTCTGCAAGCAGTCGCCGCCAGCGGTCTCTCCAGGCAAGTTGCGTTGTCTTTGCACACCGCTGAGGTGCTTAGACTCCAGTTCGTGTGTGCCTTTCGCTCTGCCTCAGTGTGGCCAGCCAACTAAAGAAGGGACAGCGTTGATTGCCCTCGAGTGCTCGCGATGCTAGTGACGGGCCTCAAGTGTCCCAGCATCGACTCGACAGGGAGTTTGAGGCGGACATGAGGACATCGTAACGAAATAATAGAGAGCTAGGAGACGCGGAATGCCACATCATCAGCAAGCATGATTCCTTTCCAGTCCGGCCCATTCATACAGCCATTGACTTAAATCAGAAACAATACTAGTCCGAGCACAGAGTCCTGAGGTGCTCCACTCACAAGTGCCATTGGCATTGATTTCGCGCTTCGGCAAAACTGCTCATAACGCAAAGTTTGTTTATTGCTACCTACCGTCTCTGAAGCCTATTCTTCCGGCCGATCGCCTTCTTTATATTCCGTGTTAGCCAGACAGGATGACTTGTCTTGTTAGACTTTCTTCGTCGGGAAGTTTCGGTGCCTAACATCGGTTAAAAATCCTTCGAGAACGTTCCAATCAGCATCTAGATATCCGGTAAGAATGTTATGCTAGTTCGCTACCGATAACTCACTTCTCTTACCGGCAAAATTTCCTCGCATGAAATTCAGTCGAGGCTCATGACGTGGTAGCATACCAACCTATACTATGGATCTAAGTTCGCCGAGGCCAATTGGGTCTTTTGCAAGGGCCCTTTTTTCTTTGATTCTCTTTGGGAACATGACGTTCTGCACGAGAAAGAGATTAGTTGTTAGTTTGAGGAGCCTGGAATCAGAGGAGGTGCGCGGACCTCTTAATAATAAATTGTTCCAGTCGAACATCGATGCGTTGAAGTCTCCGGCTATCAGTACCTCTTGGTTTTGGGCCACCTCTTTAATTTACCCAAATATTGGGATGTAATAGGTTTATTTAAGCTTCCCTTGGGCATTGTCAGTCTAGAAAAAGGTCGTCAGACCTCTGGAGTTTGGTTGCACAGCCAGTATATGGTCAGGAAATTCAGATTAGGTGTAGTACACCGTCCCCTTTCAAGTCTACTACTGTTTGATCTACTGGACGTCAGTGTGTCGGTCGTCATTTTCACTGGTCGATGTGGCAGATAGGAGCGTTCTTTTTTATAGCCTGACTGTCTACTATATTGGCTGTCTATAGAGGAAAGAGTTCCGAAGATTTACAATTTTTGCATTCAATATTCTTGGATTTTTTTCAACGTAAGAGGGTCCTCTGAAGGCTTCCGCCTTGACTTTTCTCTATTTCTCCCGCTCGGCCGGTGAAAAATCCCGCCTAAAAGATTGTTGGGTGGGCGCTTCGGAGTGCTGGCTTCCTCCTCAGCAGTAACAGCGCTTGTTCTCTTTTCTGGAGGACAATCTTTAATGGTCTGTGTTGGATCGACTCTTCGTTTGAATCCTTAATTTGTTCTATCCTGAAAGCCTTTGTGACAATGATGTTCTCTTTTCCGTGTAGTAGGGATGTGAGGTATTGAGGAAGGAGACATGATCGCTAGGACAAGAGCTTAATTATCCCAGCTATCGTGTCTCCTTCTTCAAGACTACTTCCTAGGACTCGTCTCTGTGCTTCTATTGAAAATGTAGGGTATTGCCGGAATAATTCCATATCGTGTTTCCTTATGTTTTTCGGATGTCTGAAGCGGCTTCATGCATACCTTTCACGACGATGAATTAACTACGATCAAGTCTAGGGCCCTGATGTCCATTTATATACGCAGAGTCTACATAGCGCCAATTTCCGTTTTCATTCTCGTTCGAGTCGTGGGCAGTTGTCATGGCATAGCCATCGCAGGGTTCTTTCCCTACCGAGGCTTCTTCGTCATGCTGTACCGCCTTTGGCAATGAGACATTTGCTTGCGATGTGTGTGGACTCTATTCTTCCATACTGACACTGACTTGGTTTTTGGGATGCTCCGAGGCGTTTCTTCGTTTTCTGGAATCCCTTTTGGTGATTTTTTTCTTGCAAATGAGACCGGTCCTCTGGTTTGATTAGGTATGTAGACGGTGTTATAGATGGATATGCATAGGGAACTCAAGAGCCAAAGCCTCATTTTCTTAATAAACTAATTTTTGCTGGATTCAATAATCAGAATGTGTAAGGGAGATAGTCAGAGTCTCTAAAACCTTACTTGCAGATAAACGGATGAAAAGCATTTACTCATTTACATAACATATATGTCAGTCATTGCTATCCAGTATATATGCGACCATAAATACAAATTTATCAAGTCTTTTTTGGAAGATACCAACGTTTTCGCCAAGGCAACCGATTTCGACGATCTATTCTAACCTCCACTTATCTGATGCGAGAAGAATTCGGCACGCAGTTCAAGTTTGAGATAGATGGTTTCCAGTTTATATTCGTAACCTCCAAGAGTGGTCCTTGTTGCCAGTTCGAAACGTCACCAAATAGAAGAGCACAATCTACCACTCTGATGATTTGAGAGCCCATAATTATATTTCCTCTTTGTTGTGTTTAAGAGAGAGGAAACGTTTTAGTCTTTCCGGTTATCTTTTACAGGGCAGGCGTCGTAATCCACGAGCCAGTCTAATTGTCCTTCGTTGCTTTTCTCCAAAGGGGTGTGTTCGTGTTGCGTGTATGAACGCCGCACCTGAACACACTATTCTTGAATTGGCCGTTCCAAACACTCGACTGAAAAGCTGTTCTTCAAAATTGAAGAGGGATAGCCTGATCGCGCCTACGATACCTATAGCCTTCTTTGATACCTTGGCGCATTGGGATTTTGGTTCAAGAGCGGACGTCACCAACAGACCAGGGTTTCTGAGCTAGTTGACAGATTATAGTTAGTGACCTATGGAACAGTGATATTTAGATCTCAACAGACTGCTGTTGCTAAATTGTTGTCAAATAATTTGGCATTTGTTATATTTGAGCTTAAGGAACCATTCATCACACTATTGTTAACCTTTTTGTTAACGATGTGCCAGATTTAATTTAGAATGGTAAGCCCACCATGCATGCGATTATCTGAAAGTTGCATACAGGTATAAGCCGGAAGATCGTGCCATGGTGCTCCAGCTCCCGAAGAGCGACCTATAGGCCTTTGCCCAGTGGTGCCGCACATGACGCCCTTATATTTCTTGGCATAAGTGCTCAGTCATGGTGATCGGCGAAGACCACTAACCCCAGCTAAGTTTTGACGGTTACGACATAAATGTGCTGGAAGTTATTAAGGGTCTGTGTGTATCATACTACAAGAATGTTAACGTTTCGGAACACTGCGTCGTGATAGTCTCCAAAGCACGTAGGACTACCGAGTTTATCCTCCGAAACGTTATATCTAGCGACGTTAGAGTGCGCCTTTATGAAATATATGTTAGTCCTTGTCTAGAATACTGTTTTTCGTTTTTATTTAGCCTAGTACGTGCTGCTGAGCGGAAGAAAACATCGTTTACCCGGAATATCGGTATTTGTTTTACCCTGAATGCTCCTGGTTTACAGGCCATGATCCTTTGCAATTTCGTAGATTAAGAAAGGGATTTCTTCACTATTTAGGCTTTTATATAATCGTACCTTTAGCCCGTTTTCTACTTTAAAACATCCTGTCCACCCCCGACGTAACAGTCACTGTGGGGTCTTTTTACGTCTTCCTCCGGCACGTTCCGTTAAACATCGTTGGTTCTTTTCTGTGAACATAATTAGTACAATTTGGAATAAATTGCCCCCGAATGGGAATATTATGCAAAAGTATTCTTTACGTAATATAACCATTACTCGTTTTTTGCGGTCAGAAAATCTCCCACATATTTTGGGTGCTGACTTCACCGATTTAACCTAACGTAGTGATGGAGTTCGTGGTTTCTGATCCATCCGGCAGGTCTTACTTCGAAGAGGTTCTTCAGCCGCCAGCGAGCAAGGGTTTTTCAATGCCTGTATTTGGTCCAGTCCAAATTTAATGGGAAGGAATGGAGACTGAAAATATCCGAATCACTGCTACCCATCCATTTCTGGGCTGAAGTAATCTCACGGGCCACAGTTTTTTTTTCTCCTCAACCGTCTAAACGGTACAGAACGCCATTCCTTGTATTTGTTACTCAGGAGTTTTTTATTGTTAGCCCGATCCGCGCTTTATCTTCCTTTGACAATGCCTGTAAAGTGGCATTAAATACAATTATTATTATTATTAGTATTACAAGCGACCCAAGTTATTTTGCAACTGTAGCGCATCTTTCGGCTTCTCTATTGATACCCACAGTTGGGGATCATCGACAAGCATAACCCGCTCGCTGTTTAAGCAGTCGAGGCGGTATTTTACGCATACTGGAAACAGCATTGTACCCAGAACGCTCTCCTGCACAACGCCACTGTGAACGGTTGCCCAATCCAATTTAACGTTACCAATAGGAACACGCTGAGATCTGTCTGTAAGAAAGTCGGCCAGCTATTTAGTTGGATTCCCAGTCATGCACATTCGACGTAATTTTGATCTAAGTTGTCTGTTTGGTGACTTTTCAAAAGCCTTGCTGAAGTCAATCGCACCGTCTCTACAGATACACCCATTTTAATCACTTTCGTCCAGCTCTGCGTGAATATAAACAGGTAAGTAAGACAGGGCCGACTCCTTCTAACTTTATGCTTGTGAGAAGTAGGGAAGTTGTTTTCCCAAAGATGCCACATTACATCCTTTTTAATATATTCTCCATCAGTTTGCAACAGATGCTGGTGAGACTCACCGGTTTTAAATTAGATGAGGAAGTTTTCTCCTCTCCTTTATATATGGAGCTTCTGTTGGCTTGTTTCCTTTCAGTAGGCAGAGTCGCAGTCTCCATCGAGGTACTGAATGTCTTGGAGGGCGGATAGGTCAGTTGGTCCGACAGTTCATTCAGGACTTTTGCGAGCATACCGCCCAAACCAGGCAATTTAGTGAGTTACGCCTGTTTCAAAGTTTTTTATCGTGTCTGTTTTGAAGGCCACTATCATAATTGTTTTGCTAGATGTAGCGACTGGGGGTTAAATTCTACCCCCGAAGTCCGGCTGCTCCCTATACATGGAGGTAAAGTAGTCGGATAACAGGTTCTTCTTGCCTGAATCATCATACTAACTATTCCCCTGACAGTCCTTTATACAGGGAATACGATTCTGGTTGAGTTTTGCTCTATTCATAAAAGAACATAACTTTTTGGATTTTCCTAGTGTATTTTGAGTGTTTTCGACTGGAATGTTGTCCATTCCCTCCCCCAGCAGTCTCCAACATATATTTCGCTGTCTTTTAAAATTAGTAAGGTGACCTGATTGTTGACATCTGGCTCACTTTTCCCAGAGTCGCCTTTTCATGTTAAGGTTCTTTTTTTTATTTCTGGCGCCACCTGCCTGAAACGGAAAACGTCTGATCTCATCCTAATTAGGCAACAGCCCTGTCCCACATATCACAGTGTATTCTTGAAGAAGACCCAATCGGTTTATCTGTGGGGAGCCTATGCGATGTTCTAGTTCGTCTACTTCAGCAGATCTTTCATTCAGGAATAACCCCTTTTCCATAAGTTTATTTCCTCAACAGCCCGAATTTCATATACAGAACGTGACTTCATTCCCAACCAAGAACTCAGCGGTCACTTTGGCCAAGTAGCCGGTGGGAACCTAATCTCAAAATGCAAGCATCGCCCCTAGTTATGGATGATATCTTAATAACCTGACTGCTGTCGGTCTCGGGATCGCGTGTCTGTTTGATTGTTTTAGGCATCAAACTCATTAGCAATCAAATAAATAAATTTGTGTTTGAATGAGTTTTCTGATCATGTGCAGTACACCAGTTGCCACTCGTTGTCTGGACAGTTTGAATCTCCAAGTACCATTACGTGTTTTTACTTTGACAGATTTCTTTTAGCTTGATGAGGCCTCCGCATCAATCTGGTGGTCTATCTGGAGAGTTTAGTACTTTCTAGTAACAACTGGGTATTTCACAACCAATGTTCCTGAGTAGGGAAAGCTCATCCGAGAAGGTGGATATATATGTCTGAAGTTATGCATACCAATTCAATTCAATTCAATTCAATTATTTTTATTAAAGACCCGTCGGGGTCCCATCAAAGCAAGTAAAATAAATTTACATGCAAATTTTAGACGATGTAGGCAAAATCTGCACAAAGTACAATGCATAGTTTTTGAGATTAGAAGTCCGTTAAGCAAAATGAAAATGAAAAAAAATGAAAAAAACGAGGGGTGAAAAAAAAACTCCAAAGCAAAATTTAAAAATGATTGTAGTAATTTAACAGGAGAAAAAAAACTCCTCAGAAAAAAGCATCAGAAAAAAACAGGGAGGACTGGCCTGCATGTGGCGGTACAAAATGGAATATAGTCCGACATCAACATGGCCGAAATAAATGTCAGCTGTATATGGCATTGTGTAACGGATTTCATAAAATAATACGTAGGCGGG